CTCCCCCTCCCCCCCTCCCCTCCCCCCCTCCCCCTCCCCTCCCTCCGCGCCCACAGTCAGAATTGGAACATACTCAGCCCTTGCTTCCGCTCCGTTGGCATCGAACTGGACAACGACACAAAGGCTGTCCTCGTGGCCGGCGACGCAGACGTGGCGGCCGACCTGCTCGAGCAGCTCTTTGCCGCCTTCTACGCCGACGGCGGAGGCTCGGTGGGCGGTGCCGGACAAGGCGGGTCAGAGGCTGGCGGCATGACCCCTGGCGGTGGTGGCGAGGGTGAGCGCAGCCTCGCGCCGGCATCATCGCTCGACGCGCTGCACCCGGACACTACCATCATCGCGGCGGCGCAGCACGGGCGCGACCCGGCTATCGGCTCGGGCGTGACGTCGGTGGTGACGCGGCAGACGCTGCTGTCTAACTTTCTGCCACGCGACTACTCGCGCGTCTCACTCGACATCAAAAAGCTCTCTGCGGCGGTCTCGCCCGACAACGCCGATAACATGCTCGAGTTCTTCATCGTCACCATCCAGCTCAAGATCGGGCTCAAGACAAAGACCGTGGTCAACTTTCTCACCGCCACGCCCGAGCGCTTTGACGACATTGTCCGGCACGGCTTCAAGGGCTCGTTCCGCCCGGTCATCAAGTGGTACCAGGCCCTATTCTCAAAGTCCAAGAAGATACTCGCCCTCATGCACCAGCGGCCGGGCGATCTCGACTTTGTGCTCGCCACCCTTCAGTCGGGCTTCCGCTCGACCTCGCGCGACGTTGCCCTTTGGACCTGCCGCATGTTCACTCGCCTCTCGTTTGCGCTCGCCAAGCAGGGACTCGGCCCGGAGCTCTGGCGCTGGTTTATCACGCCGGTCACCGGTGGCATGGATTGCCTCGTCGAGTCGTTTGCCCGCCACCATGACATCAAGGCTGCGCTCTTTGGCGTCTTTGACGTCTTTGGCCGCTCTTCCTTCCATGAGCTCTTCCACACCCACCTCCCACGCAAGCTCGCCCAGCCGCATCGCTACATGGCCTTTGTCCACGAGATGCTCGAGCCGCTCGCCGCCCATTCGGCTGCTCGTGCTGCCATCGTCAAGGACGGCACCTTTGAGCTCCTTCTCGAGCAGGGCCTCTCTGGAGCGTCAGGCGACCGCCATCCGGCGCTCCGCATGACCGCCGTCCTCTTCCTGGCAGAGTTCTGGAACCTGTTTGAGCCCGAGCTGGCGTCGCGGCCCGAGACCGAGACCATTCTTGCTCTCCTCAAAAAGGCCACCCGCGACGCGTCGATCCCGCTCCGCATCACCGCCCTCACCCTGCTGTTCAACCTCATGGAAGAGTTTGCGGGTGCCCGCCGCAAGCGGACGGCGCAAAATTCTGATGCGACAGGCCTCGGCGCCTCGATCTACAAGACACTCGTCATTGCGCTTGTCGACGCCCAGGGCACCTCGACCATCCGCCCATTCCTTCTCTCTAACTTTGCGGTTTTCTTTCAGTCGCTGGCGGCGCAAAAGGCCGACAACCCGCTCCCGCTCTCGCTTCTCCTCGATCCACTCATCAAGCAGCTGACCGGGTGCATGTTGAGCATGGAGGACTTTGACTTTCTGTTGGTCATTGCCAAGCTGCCGTGGCTCTCACGCGCGCACGTCCTTCTCCTCCTCCAGTTCCTTGGCACCGTCACCGTCGAGGACACGCTCTACGGCCGCGTCGCCGCAATCCCGTTTCTCATCCTCATCAACCGCTTCCACAAGGAACGCCGCGTCCAGGCCTACCTCGCCGAGTTTGCATCGGCGACGTTGCAGTTCTTTGTCTCGACCACGCCGCCGTCGATCATGCCCAAGTACGACCCTGCCAACAAGTCGGTTCGCCCTACCCCGCAGCGCATGGAGGTCGAGGAGTGGAAGCGGCGCAAGATCCTTGTTCTCGAGGTCCTGGCCAAGGTCATCCACCTCTACCACGATACGCTCAACGCCGAACTTCGGCCCATCATTTACTCGGTCCTCTCCAAGCACCGCGACGAGGATGGCCTCCGCGCCCTGCTCCAGTTTTGCGAAGACGCCGACGCCCGCCACTATGAGCAGCAGCCGTCGAACCTACATGCCACCCACACCGCGTCGTCTGCCAACAAGTCTGCCGCTGACGGCCGCGGCGAGCCGCCAGACCTCTCGGCTTGGCAAGGCTACACCATCGATGAGGTCCAGGATCTTGCCGCTGCCGGCGAGATCGACTCTGCCACCGCTCGTGCCGTCTCGGACGCCATCCTTGCTGGCGTTCTCGACGGCGGCCGCTACCGCGAGGACGAGGCCTATGACCGCGGCCGCGGGCCAACGAGCGACGCCGATCGGCGTGGACAGTATTTAGCCGACAATGACACTGCCATTGCCATCGACCACCACGCAGATGGCGATGACGGCTACAGAGCACCCGATGACGGCTACTACCCGCCGGAGCATTCCGAGTATGCCACGCCACCGCGTCGTGAGGAGCCTGGTGCATGGGGCGATGAGACCACGCCTGTCCGGCCCAAGGACTGGACGCCGCCACAGGTGACTGGCCTCACGCCCGAGCTCGCCTCCCGCATTGACGACGACATTGCTCGCGCCCGCGAGAAGCGGCTGCAGCGTGACCGTGAGCGGTACGACAAGGAGATGGAGGCCAAGTTCCGGACTGAGCGCCTGCTCGAAAAGACGGCAGTCGTCGTCGATTACAAGTCGGAGAAGGAGGCATACCAGTCGCGCAAGCGGCAAGCCCGGTGGGACGCGCTCTGGGCCAGTGCCGACGTCGAGGACATCGAGTTTCTGGACGATGCCGAAGAAGCCGCGCTCTGGGTGATCTGCGGCATGTTCGACGAGGTCACCGAGGGCGGCCTGCTCTTCCCCAAGATGCCGTCCAAGCGGGTGGTCAAGCCCGAGGATATTGCCCGGCTGTACAATGCGGCTTCGACCAAGCGCGAGGAAATGGCTCGCCGCCGTGCTGCCGCCAAGGAACGCGAGGAGCGCGAGCGCCTCGTCCGCGAAGAAAAGTTCCGCCGCCATCAACAGGAGCTCGAGGCCAAGCGCGATGACATTGAGCGGTACCGGCGCGAGAAGGCCGTCGCTGCCGAGCGCGCCCGCCGGAGCAAGGTCGCCGCTGAGGAGAAGAAGAAGGAGCAGGAGCGCGAGAAGCGCGAGCGCGATGCTCGCGAGCGCAAGCGGATCAAGCGCGAGATCCGCGAGGCCAAGAAGGCCAAGGCCGCTGCCGAGGCCCGCAAGAAGGAAGAGGCCGCCCGCAAGGCCGCCGAGGCTGAGGCCCGCAAGGCGGAAAAGTACGAGCAGTGGCGGGCTGAGGCGCAGGCCAAGTACCGGCGCGACAAGGCGCGCAAGGAGGCCGAGGACAAGCGCAAGGCCGAGGAGGAGAAGGCCAAGGCCAAGGAAGAGCGCCGCCGCAAGGCTGCCAAGCGCGCCGCCGCGCAGCGTGAGCACGAGGAGAAGAAGAAGCTCATCGCTCAACACAAGGCCGAGCTCCGACGCAAGGAGCAGGCTGAGGCCGCCGAGCGTGCTGAGGCTGAGCGCGTCGCCAAGGAAGAGAAGGACAAGCAGATGCGCGCCGCCGCCGCCCGCCGCAAGGAGCGCGAGCGCGCACGTGCCACCGCCGCCGCCAAGGCCAAGGCCGCCGAGGAGGAGAAGGCGGCTGCCGAAGAGGCCGAGCGCAAACGACGTGCTGCATTGGTCCGCAAACGCGCGCTCGAGGCCTCGTCGCGCGCAAACTCAGTAGCCGGCTCGGAGCTCGCCCGCGCCGCCCGGGAGGAGCGCGAGCGCAGCAGGCGCGTGGAGCAGGAGCGTCGCGAGCGCGAGGAGCGTGAGAAGCGCGAGAAGCGGCAGCGCGAGCAACTTGCCAAGCGCGAGCGCGAGAAGGCTGAGCGCGAGAAGCGCGAGCGCGCCAAACTCGACGACAAAGCTCGTGCCGAGCGCGAGCGCGAAGACCGTGCCCGTGCTGAGCGCGAAGCCCGCGAGCGTGCTGAGCGTGAGCGGCGCGAGCGCGAGGACCGCGAGCGGCGCGCGTACGAAGACCGCGAGCGGCGCGAGCGCGCCGAGCGCGAGCGGCGCGAGCGTGAAGACCGTGAACAGCGTGAACGCAGCGACCGCACCGAGCGCGAGCGGCGCGAGCGTGAGGCTCATGAGCGCGACGAGCGCGAGCGGCGCGAGCGCGACGAGCGTGAGCGGCGCGAGCGCGAAGCTGCACTCCAGACACGGGCCAGCGGCGGGGCCGACTCGCGGGCCTCCGCCCGTGGCGACTCGCGGGCGTCGGTCCGGACCGACTCGCGGGCCTCCGCCCGTGCTCAGACCCCGCCGCAGCGCACGTCGTCGGTTAAGAAGGCCGACTCGCCCAAGCGCGTGCCGTCGACCAAGAAGGCCGGCGGGAGCAGCGGTGGAGCGGCCAAGTCGGCCAACGAGCAGGCGGTCCTCGACGCGCTGGCTGCGATGGAGGCCGCCGGATACCACCCGAACCGGACGCTGACGGCGTCGACGTCGGTTGTCGAGGCGCTCGAGCAGTTTGTTGAGGTCCTTGAGACCAAGTCTGAGGCCGTCGACGATGCCGACGACGAGATGGCGTTCCTGGAAATGATGGAGGAGCTGACCGACGTGGCCGACGAGGTCGACACCGCCGCTACCATGCTCATGGTCGACTCGACCGACACCGCCGCCCGCAGCCAGCTTGACGAGGTCGTGGCCCAAGCGAAGGACGCCGTCTCGCGCGCCTCGGTCCTCATGGTGCGGTTTGCGTAGCAGTAAAGCGATAGCTACTGCCGCGGCGCAGCTGAAATTGCATGTGCACGTGGTTGCCGCGTGGGACCATAATAGTGGCACAAGCGATTTTTGCTGGACAGCACATGTGAGAGTGAAGGAGATGGTACCAACAGTGAACGGAACGGCTTACTGTGACTAACTAACTGATTCTAATGACTGACTAAATGACTAACAGCTGATGCGTATCGTCACTACAGTTTCTTCGTCAGCTCAAAGTCGAAAAGCATCCATGCACGCAGGAGCATCATCTTCTCGGCGCGCAGAGCCGAGAGGCGGTTCCGCTTCCTCGTCATCATGTCTGTCGCCACCGAGTTGAGCCGTTCGACGCTGGCAGCGGAGGCCGATGGAAGAAGGATCCCCTGGCCCCACAAGCGGAACCTCGCACACAGCACCTGGATCCGCCGTACGTCAGCCTTGCGGTTCCAGTTCTTGCGAGACTCGAGACCGACGCACACGTCCTCAAACTTAGCCAACATGTCGCCTACGGACAAACTTGAAGAGGTAGAGATTAGCCGACTGTTGTACAACGTAGCCGTGAGAACCTTGCAGAACACTTCGACGAGCTTGTAGTTGCTGAACGAAGCCACAGACGCAGGCGTATCGTTCACCGTCATCTTTCGCACCTTGCAGCCGCGAACCTCATCAACGCTCTTCGCGCGCAGGCGCTTCCCCGCGTTCTTCTCGCGCTTGGCAATGTTACGAGCGCGCGCCTCGCGCTCCGCGTCCATCCGCGAGCGCGCCTGTGGCGATGAAGCCGGCTCAGCCATTACCACCTTGGATGGCCCACCGGCAGCAGACATACTCGGGGAAAAGTACGTGGGGTCCCGCGATTCTTGCGGAAGCGTGTTGCTCGCTCCGCTCGATGACGCCGCAGTATGCGACGGGAGCGTGGACAGAACGTCCAGGAGCTTGGGCTCAAGGACGTCTGCCAAGCGACGCCACATGTCATGATGGACCTCAGCAGCGGTCGCCAGATGGCGCACACCAAGCGAGTTGTTGGCGTCGGCGACAACTCCCTGGACATACACAAGGTCGTCCTTGGTGACAGTCGTGTCAATAAGGAGAGCAAAGAGGCACGCATCCTCTTTGTACATGTACGCAACCTGTTTGT